GCGTCCCATGAGCGGCTTTGGCAGCTGGAGGGAAGTTCACTCGAGAGGATTCTTCCGGTGAGGGCGGCTCACGTACGGCGGGGATGAGCTTCGGGGTGTGAAGAGCTCAAGATGCTTCTCGGGGATTTTTTTTTTTTTGCCTGTATTGGGGGGAAGAAAAAAAAAAAGGCACAAAGCAGGCAGGTATTTGTGCCCTCTTCGGAAATGTTCTGGCTCAAATATCTTCGGGGTAGAACTATGAAAATAAAACCCCCCTGCAGCTGTAACTCATAAATCAACGGGGTTTTCAGATTTTTAAGGATGCCCCAGGATTAGTTTAAGGGTTCAATATCCAAGTGACGGCTCAGCGACAAGCAGCTGGTGACATGTCTGTTCCACCTCCTCGGGAGGGGACCTCGGGGAGCAGCCGTCCCCGGGTAACTCACGGGCAGCACGGAGGCACCCACGCCACGGGCGACAGCGGTTTCCCAAGGCGAGAGGCGCTGCCAGGGCTTGTGCGGCGCTGCTCCGGAAAAAGCCGACGCCAAGGGCTTGGTTGCAGCCGACGGAGGCTCAGCGATGGGAGTTGAAACCTCCAGAGCCTCAATTTGGCATTTTTGAGGAAGAGGTTTGAAGAATTCCACAGTTTTCCTTCATCCCAAATGTTTCAGTATTATTCTACATTTTTTGTTCCCACATCACGACGTTTTCCGAGGGGAGGGAAGCGGATTTTTCGAGGTGGTTTGCTCCAACGAGCCGGCGGCAATTTGGCGCGAAGCTTCCCTAGCCACTCTCCTCCACGGCGTGGAACCGCGCCGGTCGCTCCAGTGGAAACAGCGGAGCGCTGCGTGGCGAAGAGAAGCCGCAGGGGAGGAAATTTAGCCTCGAACCCAAAGGCCCAGGACAGCTCCAAAGATAAAAGAGAATCTAAGCGACAAACTCCAACGTTGTCTTCATCACAGAGGAAAAAAAATAAATCATCAAACCCCATCAGTGTCCTTGGCGGATCGTTCCCAAACGAGTGCAATCAGTCACGCTCCGAACTTTCGCGTCCAAATACAACGGACAGAGGAGGAGGAGAACTGCGCTGGTGCCTCGGGAAGGGTCAGTGGCTCATTTCGCAGGAGGATTTTTTTTTTTTTTTCCACCTCCAAGAGGAGATGGCAGTACAGCAGATGGCAAATTTCATTTCATTTGGACACAAAAGTTCCGTCGAGTGCCGGGGATCGGCTTTTCCTGGGTCACAGCCGCCTGAGTGGAAAACAATTTCATCTTCAGGCAGCCAGGAAAGGAGAAAGGCGGTTTGAGGAAGTGAGAGGCTGAACGTTACGAAGGTGCAGGTGCGAAACTCAAAGCGGTTTTCTCCTTTTTTCCTGTTGTCTGAAAGCTGAACGCGACGGCGCAGCGACAGCTTGGAGCGCTACAGCCGGGGAGGCGGCGGGTGGCCCAGCGTTCCTGCGATTTCACCGGATAGCCGAGGAGGAATCTAGATCTGGAAAAGCAAAAAGAAATGTTTAAACAAGTTGAAAGCTCAGCGTCGCTTTTCTACTCAGAGAAAATAATTGGGGTTCGAGCAGGAGGAGTGTCTCTGATGAGCTTTTGAATAACAAAAAAAAAAAACAACTCTAACTGCCTGCCTGCTTTACTGAGCCTCAGGGACAGGTCAAGGGATTCCCAGCAAAGGAAAAAAATTCTGGGAATACTGGTGAGATGAAACAGGGAGGCAAATTGTCTTGGACGGCGTCCCCAGCCAGGCACGGCTTCAAACTGGGGAGGGAGAGACCTGAGCTTCCGCTCCCGACGGCGCACTGCGCCCAAGAACCAGCCGGACGATGCTGCCCGGAGCTTGGAACGTAAAATCCCCGACGGCGTTTGGGAACGGCCGTGATCCCCCATCCCCAAAGGCTGACAGTCAACTCAGCTTCAGATGATTTTTTTATTTTCTTCCCTCATCTCCTCTTCCCACAGCAAAAAATAATGACGGATGCTTCTGACTTTAAGTACAAGAGGTGAAAAAAGTTTCCAGGGGAAGAAGGGACTCCTCCCCAAATCCCACCCTTCTCCTGCTAAAAACGTCTTCGAAGAAGTCATCTGAGTCACTGACAAACTTATTTCTCAGCACACCTGAGCTCAAGACTCTTAAAATCCCACCCTGTGTTAGCTCTGCCCTCAGTTCTCAGCATTATTTCTTCTAGTTTTGGGCAAAGCCCTCTTTCTAGAAGGGTTTTTGCTAAAAAAAAATCTGCTTTCCAACACCAAACAGCGGCTTTGTGACCTTGAAAGGTGAAAATCTGGCGTTCACGGCACACAGCAGCACCGCAGCCCTCGTTTCGAGGCAGGACGCGTTCCGGGCGGATCTTACCTTCTGATCCAGCCTCTGGTAATCGCCGGATTTGGGCCGTCGACCGCTTCTCGATCTTTTTCCTTCCAGAGCGAAAGCAATGATCTTTGGAGAGAGAAATGGGGACAAGGTGAGCGGGAGAGCGGCGAGCAAAGGATTTCTCACCTCAAACGCAGGCGCTTTCTAACGGGCCGAAGACCAGCCGCGCTTCCCTCCTCCTAGTGACCTTATGTGATTTGAAAAAACACTTGAAACAAACAAATGCCAATATTTCAACCCAGCTAAGGTCGAATACAGGCGATAACGAGGTTTGCCTAACGTGCAGAAAACAGTTAAGAATTTGTTTTCTTTCTCCTGCCTCAAAAATATCTTTACAGGAGGAAAAAAAAACAAAAACCAGCAGCAAAAGACTGTGACGTCATTTGAGCCGCATCCCCCGCATGCTGGAATATTTAAGGACTTCTGCAACCTGCTACAGGAAACTGGGCGAGAAAACGCCGGGTAGCTTCACCCATTTTTTCCTTTTCACCTCTCTCGGCTGAAAATAACCAACAGAGGTGAGGCTGCCTGATTTTTCATGGAGATCCGACCCCTTTCCTAGTGACAACACCTCTCTGCTCCTCCCAAAGCTGGTGAGACTGAATACTAACCAAATCCACGGCATGCAGCAAACTGGGGGCTCAGGGAGGAAAAAAAAAAAGGCAGAGTGAGGGGAAAGGAAACTCCTAAATCCCCGGGGAGATGTCGAGAGCCCGGGGAAGGAGCACAGCCGCTCACCTTGCGTTTGTTGTGGTAGGCAACGTACAAGGCGGCGACGACGATGGCGGTGGTCACCAGGTAGGCGAAGAAATGGCTGCTCTCCGACTGGTCCCTGGGAGGCA